ATGATCTCACCCACCAGGTACTAAAGACGGTTATTTCATACTCTGTTCTAGAGTCTCTCTAGACTGTAATAGCACCTCCTTCACAATATTAGTGCTATTTATTCCATTCTCTGACCACCCCTGGTAACACTAACCAATCGATCCTACCAACTCTTCACCATTCATCACTCCTTGGATGTCTTCTTCCCTCTTTACCATGCTTAAATCACATAATTAATCACTATAATCACTTTCTTTCATGCCTTTCTATCTCCTCTCTTTATTTCCCTACCTCGTTGGCAAAACCACATTCCCGATCACATTCCAACTTTCTGCTAACTCTACCCAGTCACTCATAGCTAAGCAAGATTAAAGGAAAATGCACAATCATGGTAACTAGTCCTACTTTAATTTCATGGCTAGGAACATCAAACATATTTTCCCTATTCATACCATTATCTCTCTCTTTTCTTGGCTCTATTCTCATTATTCTCAGTGATAATCTTCTTTTCCAGCATTAAAGGTAAAACTGACACAATGGGAAAAGAACCTTAGACCTTCATCGCACCTGCCAAAATCTACACAGTCCGCCTTCTCAACTGTTATCTGTCATCACAGATTCTATCCATGACTCCAATGTGCACAATCCTCATCCTCTCACTCACACTCACAGCACAAATTCTCCCCTCTCTTGAACATCATGAATTATCTGCTAGAGATAGGCTATTTTGAAAAGAAACTTTCTCTTGGCCTCACTTCTCCAGCTATTTCCCTATTTCTTTACTCTGTCAAAGCAAAACTAACCCCCAAAAAAGTTGCCTATATTTACAGTATCTAATTTGTATCCTCTGATTCTCTCTTATACCCCCTTCAGTCAGGGTGTCATTTCCACCACTTCACCAAAATTGCTTTTATCAAAATTGCCTTTGACTTCTACTTTCCTAAAATCAATGGCCATTGACTTCTACTTTCCTAAAATCAATGACCAATTCTTAATCCTCATCTTACTTGACTTTCAACATTTAACCTAGGTAATAACTCCTATTCTTATTAAGCTTTTTATACTTTTAAGACATGGAGACTCTGGGTTTTGTCCATGATTCCTGGCCATTCTTTCTTGACCTTCTTTGCTGGTGGTTTATGTGCTCTGTGACATTTTACTACTGAATTGGAATGTTCGATGTCTTGGCCTTGACATTCTACCTTGTTCCAACCTCAGTCATTTCTCAGTATCCACAGGAGATAGGTTCCAGGACACTGACAGATCTCAAATTTCCAGGATACTCAAGTACCTTTTATAAAATGGTATAATTTTTACATATAACCTACCCACATCACTCATATACAAACAATCATTCTTATGTTACTTATAATAACTAATAAAATGTAAATGTTATATACTATACTATATTATTTGGGGGAATAATGACAAGAAAAAATTCTGTACATGTTCAGTATAGATGCAATTTTTCATCCCAATATTTTTGATGTATGCTTGGCTAAATACAACAGTATACTGATATGTACTTCTTCCTTTGGTCATCTGCTTTTATACAGTGGATTTAAATAAATGCATAAGACAACAAGTGTCAATTTTAAGTCTCCCTCCCAGACCAATCTCGCAAACTCCAGACACGTTTATCCTACTCTCATCGTGATCTCACCATTTCTCACTATTGTCATATTCATAATCAAAATTCTGAATTCAGCCCCACCTTTGCCCTCCAAACCAACAAATCTACTTCCTCTGTAGCCTTAGTTGATACTACACCCTTTACTCCAGCCAAAAACCTTGGAGGCATTTTCAGATCTTCTTTTTCTCTTACTCCACATCCAACCCACTAGAAATTTCTATTGACTCAACTTCAAAATACATCTAGGATCCAAATTTTCACCATAGCTACTCTTAGTCAGAGCTATCACCATCTCTAGCTTATTTTTAGAGGATTTCTATCCAACCTTCCTTCTTTTAACCTTGCCCCCAATAGTTAATTCTCAAGGAAACAAAAAAATCTCAAAATGATTCTATCAAAATATGTTAGATTATGGGATTCTTTGGCTCAAAACCTTGTAAGAGATCCCAATTCACATGGGGCTTAAAGTTCTTTCTATGACCTATAAGGCAAGACCCTGCCTACCTGGTCCCTATGATTTCATTCAGCCGATTTTTCCCATTGTTCGATCCATTCTAGGTTCATGGGCCTCTATGCTTTCTTCAAACCTTCCAATTCATTCCTATCATAGGGCCTATCCACTGGCTATCCCTCTGCTGGAATAAAGTTATCCAAACATTCACATGCCTGTCCCAGCAACTTCTACTCTTTGATAGAACATCTCTATGACATAGCCTATCCTGACCACCTTATCTAAAATTATAACATGCTCCTTCTTGCCACCTGATTCCTCTACTTTTTAAAAAATATCATAATGCTTAGACCCTTCCAAAACACTACATATTTATTATGTTATATATAGCTTTATATGATCACATATAATAATTATAACTATAATATGATTTATATATTACATTATATATAGTATAGTTTACCTATTTATTATGTGGACTTATTATCTCTCTTAGGTAGTATCTGAACTTCCTGAGGGCAGGGACCTTTTGCCCGCTTTGTTCATTGGTGTATCTCAGGTACTTGTTGAAAGAAAGGCAGGTAGAGCAATTAGAATTCTATTGTAATAGTCTAAAAAACAACTAATGAAGATTCAGTTTGGTCTTACCCTACAAATATTTATTGGAAGTGTGAAGATAAACAATCCAGAATCCCTGGTCTTGAAGACTCTTCAGAGGACAGAGAGGTAATTTCGAATACTAAAAGATAATGGAGCAAAACCAGGGCATCCTAGGAAAAACAGCATGAGCAAAGACTGGGAGATGTGATATGGCATTATGTATTTACAAAACTGAAAGTGCATCAATATGGTCTGTTTGATGTGACAACTTGGCTAGGCTATATATAGTCCTCAGTCCATTGATTATTCAATGGACACCAATCTAGTGTTGCTGTGGATGTGTTTAGTAGTGGTGATTAATGACCATAGTCAGTTGACTTTAAGGAAGAGAAATTCCTGTAGATAATGTAGGTAGGACTGATCTAATCCAATGAAAAACTTAAAAACTTTGGCTTCCCCAAAGAAGAAGAAATTCAATCTATCTGTAGACAACAGCTTCAGTTGTGGGTGAGAGCTACAGCCTGTTCTTCCAGGCAGCCAGCCCTGTGGATTTCCTTTCCTAGGAAGCCTCCACAATGACGAAAGTCAAGTTCTTAAAATCAATCTCTAGTATATATCTTCTGCCATTTCTACTTTCCTGGTTCAATCCTAACTGATACCCTAGACTAATACAGTTTAAGGCAGAAGAGAGAGAGAGAAAAAAAAAAGAAGGGTGGAAGGAGTAGAGGCTATATCGTGAAAGTGTTTATCTTTACCATTCTAAGATGACTAGACTTGACTTTAACATCAGTAGGACAAGCAAGGTGAATACCATGATCAAGGACGAAGTGAATTTTTCTGAATTTGTTATAAAGAATGTGCTGGAACAGGAAGCAGGAGGAAGAGAGAAATGGTAGAGATTGAGAAACTGCTTGTGAGAGAAGTAAGAGGAGAACTCAGATTATCATGGACACCTGGGAAACAGTGTTTAGGAAGAAGTGTTTGGTCTGCCCTAGTCAGAGCATCGGAAGAATAAGTCACACATCTAACATGCTGTGATGAAGCGAGGTCACTAAGGGACCACAAACTAGACTGCATTGGCTGAGGAGTGACTGGGAAGTGAGAGAGTAGAACAAACAAAGGTAGACTATTTTTCCCAAAGTTTGGCTTAGAGGAGAGCAGGGAAAAGCAGCAGAAGAGGAAAGGACACAGTGAAGATGATCCGAATGACAGAAGTCTGGGCTTTGGCATGGACTCAGTGAAAACAGCTAGTGGTACAGAGAGTGCAAAGATAGATGAAAGCAAGGAGACAAATTCTCCTGAACAAGGGTCCAAAGAGGACAGGTGTCCAAGGCTCACAGACACAGGTGAAGACCTGGTCAAGGACAGTGAGAGGTCCCTCATATTTTGAAAGTTGGAGGTAAAAGAGAAGGATGGGAATCAATAGTAATGCATTTGAAGACAGATAAGGACCTTCTAATAATTCATGCCCAGAAGCTGGGGGGTGGGAGTGGTTCTTGGAAGGGTCAGGAAAGGAGATTACCTGCTCAGAGAGAGAAAATAGTGCGATAGCCTGACTTCCACAGGGGCTGGATCATCTAAGAGGACATTACGGAGAGGAAGCAAGATTGATGAGTTACTCAAATGGCTTCTGAAGTGCCTTGAAATTCAGACTTTCTACAACATCACCTCACAGGAACACTGTCTTGGTCATTATTGTTTCCTCTTCAACCAAAACAATGCCTACCATACAGAAGAACTCAATAAAATTTTTTTTAATTAATGCATTCATGAATACTTAAATGAGCTTCTCTTCCAAACAAGCACATAAAACCTTTCAGTTAGAATTATCTGATTTAACATAGAATCATTTTAACATTTTTAAGAGACCACAAATGCTTCCCAGAAGACTTTAAATCAATATAATGCCTCCAGTCTTCAACTCTGACCTCAGAATGTGGGCAAGTCAATCAGGATAACTCAGACTTAAAAGTGGGCATTTTTAGCTTGAATTTTTCCCTGAACTATTGTATAGCAAATTATCAGGAAAATGGCCAAATCTCTACTTTGTTTCATTGCACAATAGGTTTTTCTGAATTGAGCAAGTATTTATTATTCAGATTTCCATCTAGATTCCACCACTGTAGGCGGAATGTAGCCTTAATCTTCTGATACACCAATCTCCTCTTTTTGGTCTCAATGACATTTATCACTAACTGGATGGAGGGAAACACAAGACTTCTAAAAAAAGTAAGCTTAACTGGAGGTATGGCATAATTATATAATAAAAAAAAGTAATATAAGCTATGCCTGGTTGCTGCTGAAATGCATCCCTATTGAACTTCCCTATTTCTTACCTGCGTGGAAAACTTTGGTTTTTCCATTAGTGATTCCAGAAGAACATGCCTCCATTTTTATTGACCTTCTGCCTGGTGGAAGTGAGGAATGCCTGACCACGGGCAGGCGACGACGTGACCCTGGGCGGCTTGCCACACTTCGCCGTTGATGGATTTGCAAGCGCTTTTCAGCCCCATGAATAGATAAACTTAAACCTGAAATAAGGAACAACACCATTAGACCTAAGACGTCAATTCAGAATGATTAAAATACCAAGTTATGTTCTGACATGAAATTTCAGAGAACATAAGCAACTATGCTTCGAATTCTAGAAGTATGCTAATCAAACTAGAATTGTCATTTTTCAAATGACTTCATTTACTGAACATTGCTTCTTCCAAAATGGACATCCTTATTTATCATGACAAGATGGATGAACAGGAATTCAGTAAGTTCAAATATTAAACTTCTTGTCAAAATTCTTTCCATAATCCTAGAAAAATACGCATATATTTGGCCTGCAGTTATCAGGGGCTATGGGAATTATTGCTGGAGTATCTATAATTTCAATAAAAATTCAACAATGTTCTCTATGAGATTCATAAATAGGCCAGAGTTGGCAACCAAACTCAGATTTACACTCAGATACCTTAGAATTATATGTATTTTAGAACTACATTATTCAAAGCAATTTTAGATATATTAAAAGTGACAAGAATAATATAATCACTCATCAACAAATGTCAAAACTTCTCCAATCTTGTTTCATCTACTCCACTCTCTTTGTTGTTGATTTATATTTTCAGTGCTTGGAGTAATCTAAAGCAAATCCCAGACACCATGTCAAGCTCATCAAAAGCAGTATTGATTGTGTTGTCTTACATGAATTACATAAATATAGATTACATCCACTGATGCATAACAACTGTACAAAAAATTCTCAGTTCAAAAGATATTTTTAAAAACTCACCATTGGAGGCTGCAGATATGCCAATTCATTACTCAGAAAATTAATATAGAGAAAGAAGTAAGCATCTATTCTGTCTTTCCTTTACCAACCATATTTCAAGGTATACAAACAAATAATGAGAGAATGTTCTTCACTACAGTAGAATTCCTGATGGTAAATGCTGATGGAAACAGAATTATAAAATCATTTTGAAGCCCCAGTGAAATATGGAAAGAGACATGATCCGTCCACAGAATCTCTGCTAGGCTGGGGCTAGAATTCAAACTCAGAGATGGCAGCATCCACAAGCCAAAGAAAGATATTAGCCTTACAACCTCAATAAGCCAGTTGTACTTGTCAGGAATCATATAATCTAATAAGGGAAAAATAAGCTTTACCAAATCACAGAATTTTTTATTAAGAGAAGAATGTGCTGAAGCTTAAAGGTATAAATTGAGATTTATAAGTTACCTTAGTGTTTAGCTAATTAATCTAGGGCCTTTTATAGATGAGGAGACTGAGGCCTGGTAGGGTAAAACAATTAGTTTATAGATTATCAGTTCTTTAGGCCAGAAATGGGGGTGGTAACAAGCCAACAGAGAGGCAAACTGCAAAATCAGCAATCATGGGCCATGGGGAAGGTGTGAAGAGTCACTTTAAATTATCCCCAGGAGGAAAAGGAGGAAGATGACCTGGGCCAACATGTATGCTCTAATGATCTAATCCTTTAATAAAAGGACAGTTCAAATCAGAATTTGGTTTTATCATCCAAGGAAGCATGAAAATAAACAGAGTAATGGAAGCAAATATGAGCATACCCATCCAAGCAACAGTCTCAAAATTTAAGGATTCCAGTTGTACAGCCAGACAGTCCCAATATATGACTTCATTCTCCTTTATCACTCACTGTTCTCATTCTGACAATGTCTGCCCCAACAACCTACGGGTTAGGACTTTGGCTGCCAGTACAGGAAGAGAGCAAGCTTCCTATAGTGTCTTCCCATTAACCAGGAGGCAAAGTTTTCAGTATGAACTCCCAAACTGCTGTCCTGGGCTTCAATACATCTACCTCATCATGAATTATTTACTAAGGGTCTGTTTCCAAGGCTGATTTTAATCCCATGATGCTGTGAGCCTGAGCCTCAGTCTTGGAAGGTCTACCCAGGATAGGACTATCATGCTGGGTGGCCACGCTGGAGATAGCCTGGCAGGCTTTCCCTGGCAATGCATGCCCTGTTCTGATGCCCAGATACCTGGACATGTGTGAGTCTTCTACTCCCAGATGTCTCTGTGAGTTAGTCTGGTACCTCAGCATCTACCTGTTGTTCTTCACTCCACCCTGATCACAACACTGTTGCATGTGCCACACATCCACAGAGGTGCAGACTGAATGCCTGTAGGCTCATCAAGACTGGAGAAGAATCCAGACAAACTTGTAGGTGACAGACATAGGGAATGCAAGAGACATTTCAGTCTGCAAATATGAAATAGACCTTCTCCAAAGTCATTTTTTATCCCTTTTGCAGAAGATTATTGTGCTGAAGTGAACTGGGTTGTGACTCAGCGTGACACTGATAGCTCTTATATAACTCCCCTCAAAGAAGCACAAAATAACATAAATGAGAAAAAAAGTACATGGTGGAAATAAATGTTATAGGTACTAGAAACTGTTGAATCCTACATTTAAAAAAATGTGGACTATAGATAAAATGTTAAAAACCAAAAATAATTCATGAGCATTATCAGGAGAAAATGGATATATTACGCAAGAATTTGGGGAGAGCCCAGAATGTCTGAGCAAATCCTTTTCAGGTCTCTAAGAATTAAGAATCCTCAGTGGTACAGATAAAGGGCCTGGCCCATAAGAGCACTCTTCATACAAGGCCCAAGACCATGGGAGAGAGACTTGTAAATAAATAGCTAATATACAAAATAGCAACTATATTTCAGGCATTTGAAAATGTCAAGATATATGAAGATTCAGAAGTCATATCTTTAGAAATGAAATGTGAGCCAATAAGTTGCACCGTCCAATTTGGTCTTAATTACTTTACAAAAATTGCTGATTGCTTATCTATTAAATGCCAAGCATAGAGACAGATATTGATCATTAGCCCATTAATGCCTCACCACAACCATAACAGAAAAAGAATTGGTATCGACATTTTATGATGGGGAAACTGAGTTTCAAGAAGTTACTGGTCCAAAGTCATATAGAGAGAGATTCACTGGAATTTTAACTGTTTAACCTGTTTTTTTTTTAACCGTGCTGTGCAATATAGCAAATTAAATTCTGATATAGAGATGAATTGTTTTAAATCTGCAGTGGTCCTGAAGACTTAGAAATCTATTCAGATGGAGACTGGAAGGTACAGAATGCTGACACTCCTTTGACCTAAGTTCCACTAGAACCCTATTCCCCACCCATACTTTTGATTCATGGCACCATCCAAGATGAAAGTTCCTCCTAGTTCTTGACTATTTATCAAACATCTTCATTTGTAAGAACTAGCTGGCAGTGTTCATTCTCCTTGAAGTCCTTCTTGTTCTTCTGGCTATGCCAGTCAACACTCTGCTCTTTAATCTTGCAATAAGCTTTTACTACAAAACACCCTGAACTTGTGTCCACCTGCTGATGCATGGATGGCCCACTTCTCCCATTAGTTCAAGAGTCTTTGCTGGCAAAGATCCTATTTTGCACTTTTCTGATTCCTTCCTCATCTCTGAACTAAATACTTTCCATACATTATATGTGAAATGACAATACCCCTTTCATCCCTTCTCCCTTTGTACTTTGCCCTCTATGTGATGCAAAGACTCAAGACAATGATGCTGAGGACTAGGCATGGTGATGCATACCTATAATCCTGAGGAAAGGTAAGAGGATCATGGTCCAAGGCCAGCCCAGGAAAAAGTGCAAGATCCTATCTGAAATATAAATTAAAATAAAAAGCATAAGGACTGCTACTGGGCTCAAATGGTAGAGCACTTGCCTAGTGAGTATGAGTCCCTGAATTCAATCCCCAGTACCACCAAGAAAAAAGAAAAAGAAAAGAAGGACACTGAGCACACTTAACTGTGTGACCAATTTCTGATTTAGTACTTCCTGTCTCATTACACCTTCACCAGCTTTTGAGACAACTGAGGCTTGACACTTGGGGCTTCCCTCAACTTCAACAGAGAGCTTCTTTCAACTAAGCTGAGAAGATGGGGCCAAGATGATATAAATCTTCTCCTCTTCCCTCCTTTGCATCTAAAGTTATCTTTACAAAAACGGCCTTTTTCTTCTGAGAGATATCATTTACCTAAATAAAGCATCCAAAGTCAGAGCCTTGGGAAACCCACACCTTTAGTACAACACAGATGTTAAAATGTGGGTGCTGGAATCAGACCTTCTGAGTTCAAATCCTAGCCACACTATTTACTATCTATGTTACCTAGTGCAAATGGTTTGATAGGCTTTTGCCTCAATTTTCACACCTACAAAATGAGAGTAAAACAGGTCATACTTCAGAGGGTTGTTTTGAGATTAATGAATTAATTTCTCTAAAGTACCAGGGCAATGCCGAGTATACAGTAGGTGCCCTGTATCAATTAGCTTCCACAATTCCCTTCTACCATGCCAATGTCTTCCACTCAATTTCCATTCTCACTCCTCAGGTTCTAACATTTCATGCCTCTGCTCTTCTGTTTTAAAACTCTTGCATTGGTTTCAATGACACTTAATCTTTTTGTTACCTCTTACCTCTAAACTCTTTTCCTTTCTTGTTCCCAAATGTGGGGGTATTCATTTCTTAAAGTGCTATAAAAAATAATCACAACCCCTGGTGAGTTAAAACAATGTGAATTTATTATTGTACAGATTTACATCTGAAATCGAAGTGTTACCAGGGCCATATTTCTTCTAGAAGCCTTGGGAGAGAATAGGTTCCCTTCCTCCACCAGCTTCTCATTGTGGCTGCATTCCTTGGGAGTCCATGCTTTATGGTCATGTCACCTCAATGTCTGTCTCTGTGGTGATATTACCTTCTATTCTGTGTTTGTATCTCATCTCTCTCTTATAAGGACATTAGTGATAATATTTAGGGACCATCTGGATAATCCAGGATAATCCCCTCATCTCAAACTCCTTAACCTAATCCCATTGGCAAAGACTCTTTTTTCAAATAAGGTAATTTCATATATTCGCAGGTTAGTACATGGATATATTTTTATCGGCCTACACAGTGGGCATTTCCCAAGGTTTTCACTTTAGTCTTCTTCTCTTCTCTATATCCCATGCTTTCTTGGAGATCTATGAGATTCCCAAGTGATCTGTATTTCTTTTGGCCAGCTGTCATTTCTGTGTGGTCAGCTCCCCAAGTCATGCCTCTTGATTTGCTATGACTCCTAAACTTCAAGCTCACCATTCTGACTTGGTTCAAATTTTATGAGAAGCCCAATAAATTCACAGAAGCAACCATAAGTAATAAATACGTTGATTTTTATAAAACGAAAGCTTAGATTTCCTTCTTAAAAACTCTTTCTAAAATGTAAGATTTTTTTTCTCAACAAATTTGAATTCTTGGGTTCTCTTTTGCTCTGGCACACTTCCAAGGGGCATTATTCCTGGCTGCTCTGCAAGGTAGAAGTGTACCTGTGCAATAGTGACTTGCTTTCAACTAAATGTCATGCCTGTGATTCAGAAGAGCTGTGTGCTGTGGGAACAGCTATTTCTCTGTCAGTGTTTTACAACTTGCAGAATAGTATCTATGTGTTCTACCACTCTCCTCATCATCTCTTACATAAATTACGTTTCAAAATATAGAAAAAAACCTCTATTTTGAATGTCACCACCATGAGCAAAACATAGGATTTACCTATTCTTGATTTAAAAAATATAATAAACTGCAGAAGAGGATATTTATTTCTAGTTTTCTCTTTAACAACAAAGTGGAGAATGAACCGGTGCCTCCTTCCCCCAAAACACTGGCCAGAATGGAGGTGAAAATGCTTTTGGTTATTCTTGGGCTTGGATTTACTTTTCTTGAACTTTCTGGGGCTTTATTAATATCCTCTCTTGTTTGGCTCAAAGAATTATTTTTTAAAGGTTTATAAAATAGGCAGAGAGTCTCCCATGTTCTAAAAGGAAAAAGCTCAAACATGTAGGGATACACAAAGAAAAGACAGAACCTTGTGTGATATTAGCTGAGGCATGTTCCCATTACAGGGGACAGAATTTGTCCCCCTTTGGTGAGGTGAGCTCAGATGGACCCAGATCAAACAGATTCAGAGGAGCTTTGAGCATCATCGGAATTGGTGGGTAACTGATAGTAGGAACATTCCATGGAGTGGTCTGAGACCTGTCCCTGGGCCCCCTGGGAAAGACTGAGCTAGAGCTCTGCTTGGTCTCAGTAGATCTAATGAGAGGATTTGCTACAGCCCCACCACCCTCCATCATATCAGGTCCTTGGCCATGCTTCCTACTGTTTTTCTTCTCATACTGTGCCAGGCTTTTTGACAGATTTTCATCAGCATGTTACACAAATCTGGCAGTACCAATACATCAAAACCAGGAAGAACTTCCTGCCAAGACACTGTCATTTGTAATTTTGTGACAGTTGTATGTCTAAAGTCACATTTACTTGTATTCAAGTACTATGAAAAGAGACTAAGATATAAATTACCCTGATTTAATTTTTGGCTCAACATCAATATGAAGAATTTATTGGATCAAAAAGGATAAGAGCATATATGAATGTTGAGCCAGCATTATTTGAATTCAAATAAGGTACTGCAGATAGATTATTGATGATTTCCCTCTATCAAATCTACCTCTACATTCTTTATAGCCTTTTTTGTAACTTATGTCTCTCCTGCTTCTGGGGATGAATTAAAGTCTTCTCTTTGCCCCTCATTCAGAATTCTGCTAGAAGGACTTCATTTCAGGAAACCTCAGTGTCACAGATTACAGCCCTGCCTTCTCTCTGCCACATGGTGATTCAGCAGTACTCTCAGTTGAGGGAGAAAGGTGTATTACGTACTCCTTGGTTTTGAACTTAGTCTCTATGACTTGCTTTGGGCCAGGGGAATATTTGTGGATGTGATGAAAGCAGAAATGTGAAATAAGTTTCTGTGGTTTTGGCTTGGTCTCTCGTGCTTCATTTATCACCATGGAAATCATATGTTCCAAGTAATCATGGGTCTTAGAATGAAACACATGGAACAGACTTAAACCTGACCTTTAACCTGGAACCAGGCCCCCCTCAACCCAGCTGACATTGGTCAAACACTAGCTAGCTCCTGTATAGACCCCTGGGGTAAAAAAAGGGATAAAGTTTTCTGGGAGTCAGCCTCTGAGATTTGGGGTTGTTGGGACAGAGTGGAGACTTGATGAATACAACCCCAGTAAATGCTCATAAGGTAGAGGTGCAATAGTGCTAGTGCTCATAGTTTGGTTATAAGTGGTGAGTTCACAAATAAAGCACCCTCTTTCTTGCCTGAAATGTTGTCTTGGGATATACCCCCAATCCAAAAAATTCTAGAATCAACTCATGGGTCAACTTTCTGAAGAAATCTCACTACTTCCTCCTTTTCCTCCTCCTCTGCCAAGCACCCCCACTAAGCACACATGTCCCTCCCTGTACTCTGTTGAACCTGGTGTTGGGGAGAACCTATATCAAAGCTTATCCACCTGCACTGTCATCGTGTGTGTTTTTGTCCTTTGAACTTAGGGGTTGGGACTGTGCCTTATTTAATAGTTATTACAATGCATGTCTCAGAGTAGGCACTAATGTAAATGCTTCTAGAAAGGAAATGAGAGGGGAATGGACAAGTAGAAAAAAAAATAGATAATGAAACTCTTCAAATCCTCTCAAATTCCACACCTTTGTTATACTGAGTTTTTTGGAGAGTGTTTGCTTTGTTCACTGGCTGGAATGATAGCTGAGACCTTGGAGGAGGGTAGGAGCTAGAGGAAGGGGTAAGTCTGGAGAACACTGAACAACTGAGTTCTTCCTACTCTTTTCTCTACCTAAGTCTATCCACAGTGAAAAATTGCTCATGTGAGATAGTTTTTTCTTTATAAAGAGTTATTTAAAACTCTTTTAAAGATGATGCAGTACATAGCTGAAGAAACAAAATCAGTATGTACAAGAGACATCAGTATTGCCAGAGCTGTTGCAGCATCCCTCCTCTTAGCCAAGGTAGGGGATCAACCCAAGTATCCATCACAGATGAAAGAATTACAAGACTGTGGCATATATACACAATGGGATATTATTTAGCCTTACAAAAGAAGGGAATTCTCTTATTGGCGACAACATGGATGAAGCTGAAGGACACTATGTTAAATGAACTAAGCCAGGTCCAGAAAGTCATACACCATGTGATCTAACTTATGTTGTATAATCTATATATGTGAAGCAAAGAGGAGAATGGGAGTCAGCAGGAGGCAGGGGGTGATGGAGGGGTTGCAGAGATGTGTGGGTGAAAGTATACCAAATTTCCATTAGATAAAAGAAATAAATTCTGGAGATTGACTGACAACCTGGTGACCACAGTTAATATCAATGAATTGTATTCTTGAATTGAACAGAGAGTTCTCAAAAGAAGAGGTATTAATGACCAACAAATTCATGAAGAAATGTTCAACATTCTTAGCAATAAAGGAACTGAAAATCAAACCTACACTGAGATTCCATCTCATCCCAGTCAGAATGGCAATCATCAATAATAAACAACAGATGCTCCCAATAGGGAGGGGTTAGAAAGGAATGAGTATTTGCTGTTGGGGATGTAAATTAGTACAGCCACTATGGAAATCAGTATGGAGGTTCTGCAAAAACACTAAAAATAGCACTACCATACGATCCTTCTATATTCCTGGGCATATATCCAAAGGCATGTAAGTCAGCATACAATAGAGACACCTGCACAGACATGTTTATTGCGGCACTATTCACAGTGGCTAACTATGAAATTACCCTAGGTGCCCATCAACTGATGAATGGATAAAGAAAACGTGGTATGTATACACAATTGAGTATTAATCGGCCATAAAGAAGAATGAAACTATGCCATTTGCAAGAAAATGAATGGAACTGGAGATCATCATGTTAAGTGAAATAGGCCAGGCTCAGAATGACAAATGCCACAAGTTTTCTCCCATATGCAAAATCTAGACCTAAATGCACACCCACACATATCATGAATGTAAAAGGAGGGCTGTTGAGGAAACCAGTGGAAGGGAGAAAAGGAAAGGAGAGGGTGATGGGGATATGATCAAAGTATACTGCATCTGTGTATGAAAATAGCCTAATGAAACCCATTAAAAACTACTTGAAAAAAGAAAAAAATGGGGGAAGGTACAGGGCAGAAAAAAGAGTAATAAAAGAGGTGAATGAAACCCAGTACCACAAAAAAAATTATGCCAGGTGCTGGTGGTTCACTCCTGTAATCCTAGCTACTCAAGAGGCAGAGGTTGGGAGAAGTGTGGCTTAAGTCAGCCCAGGCAAAAAGTTCACAAGATTCCCTCTCAAAAGAAAAAGCTGAGTGTGGTGACACATGCCTGTCATCCTAGCCACTGCAGGAACCATAAACAGGAGACTCATAGTCCAGGCCAGCCCCACAAAACGCTGTCTCCAAAATAACAGAGCAAAAAAGGCGGAGGTGAGGCTTAAGTGATAGAGTGCCTACCTCACAAGCATGAGTTCAAACTCCAGTGCTGCAAAAAAAAAAAAAAAAAAAAGCATAATTAGGGAACTGAAAATTAAAACAACAATAAGATACCACTGTATACTTACATGAATGG